TCTGATAAGACTTTGCTTGTGCGCGAACATCTATCCAGGTGGGCGCAGCTGCAAGAGGGTGGTGAGCGGAGGACCTTTTGCTCGGGGCTGCTCCACTGGCTGACCACTGGAGTGCCTGGGCCGGTCTTGCTAGTTCTTGCTGTTAAAGTCCCCACTGAATTAGAGTCTGTTATCTGTTCTTGACGACGAGTACGGGATCCTGACTGTCGAGTGATGACCTCCGCATGCTCTGTGCTGTATGATTGCACCAATCTCTTGGGTGGTTGCGTGTGTTTGGTGGTTTGCGCGCGCTAACTTCGTTTCACCTGTTATGTCGAGCCCAACAAGACCGGCCTACTGTGCTACTGATGTAGTAAAGAGGCGCCAGTCCAAAAAACAAAAAAAGTGGCTTGAGGCGCGCATGTGCTGCAGCTTTTCGAAATGTTGCCAATGGCTGCGTCCAGCGTGGAACTGAACTCTTTTAGACGTGGACGTCCGAGCTCAAGACCAGGCTGAAGACTCTTCACAGATCCAGCCAGCTGTTAGAAGGCGGTTTGTCTCCAGGCTCTAACCGAGCCAGACATTCTTAAGTACGCCAGTCCAAAAAAAAAATGTCCGATTCCTGGAGCTGCGCAGCGGCTCCACTTGAAGCGTAGTTCCGCCACAACCCCGTTCCACGAGATTCCGCGTGCGTGCCGCGTGAAGGGAGTCAGCCATGGCGATTCTGCTGGAACCTAACTTGTTCATGGCGAACTGCTTCTAATGTACAGAGTGACGTTCGTTCGTCACGTCTCACATTGTTCGTCTTGTGTTTTGCACAGTATTTGTGCCGGCTTGTCCTGTGCCACCCAAAACCGCGCATGGGACGGCCGCAAAGATGAGTGAGAATTGAGAGACTGCCCTCTACAAATGAACCTACATCGTCTTCGCCGTGTGCTGAGAGAACACCCTTAGTCGAGAGACTCACAAGAACAACTTGTGCGATCACCGATGTCATGGGCCATGACAGCAGTCTGCAGTAGCTACATGCTATACACTGTTTAGCCACTCACATGTCTCAAGTATTTCTCGGTTCACATCACGGGAATCGCACTGCGTGGCCCATAATGCTTCACAGTACGGCCACGCAGCGGACACATCTCGTGTGGAAGCATTTTCCAGTGGTTGTTGTTGTGCAGATCTTCGTAGGCACGCCTGTCGAGATTTCTTTCCCCCTTATTCTCAGAGACATGTCCGAAGCAGCTTCCTGGTTGGACTCTGAAAGGGCAGAGTTGGAAGATTGGTTTTCTGTCCCGACACGTAGTGAGTGAGTGCTCTGATGCGCTGGCGTGTAGCATGCGTGGTATAGGGTTTACGGCTGAGGGGTTGAGTGGATGGGAGAAAATTCGACGTATCTGGTGCTGTATGGAGCCAGCGGGCTCTAATGAACGATCCACAAATCGTCCTCATGATGTGGTCTGGGTGAACAAACCCGCTGCGGCCGTTCGCTTTGTGGAACAGACTGAGTGGTCGCATTCCGAAGTGGTGCTAGCTTTGAGTATGTCTTGTATGCATAGGTGATCGACTTGTATCGGTGGAGAGATTAGCATTCAAGTGTCGGGAATGATGTTTTCCATATTGTTTTAACGATTTAATATTTTGGAACTTTTGCTCGCGGGCCAAAAGCAAAACAAGGGTCAAACAAAAACATCCACCCACACGGTTGTCACTTCACGAAGAACCCCGACCGAGATGTACAGCTTGGGCCATGATGTGTTCATGATAGTAGATCACAGGCCAATCAAGGGAAAATATGTGTTATGTATCCAGCAACTCCCAGTACAAAGCTTTGCTGTGGCAATCGGAATTGCAGTATGGTGCGTGGGATTTGGCAATTGTGCTTCTTGCATGTCACGGGGAACCCTTAAGCCCTAAACCCTAAACCCTAAACCCTAAACCCCAAACCCTAAACCTTAAACCCTAAACCCTAAACCCTAAAACCTAAACCTTAAACCCTAAACCCTAAACCCTAAACCCTAAACCCTAAACCCTAAACCCGCCTGAGCCCGACACCCCTTCAGCAGAGCTGTCGCTTTGGGGCTTTCCCACGTCGATGCCATTCAAGAGCGGCAACGATGGAACTCTCAGCTTCCACATGTAGCGACTTGATCAGGATTTCATAAGCCATGACAGACCAATGTGAGATCGCACACACTGCGTTGTTCTCATTTTTTGTTGACCAGGGCACATGTTCTGCAAACTTTTAGCCCTAAGCCCCTAAACCCTAAACCCAAAAACCCTAAACCCTAAACCCTAAACCCTGAACCCTAAACCCTTAACCCCGGACGCTGAACCCTAAACCCTTCACGTGCTTCGGCCCCCCAAGCCATGGTGCCTTCCTGTCGAGATTGCTTGGCCAGATGCTTCGGCGTCGAGTCGGAAGACTTAGAGAAGGATGAAACTGCGACCGATACAGCAGATGAACCACAGACGTCCGTCTTCACCACCACCAAAACGGTGATGAGGCTTCTCTGTATATACCTCGCAGACTCGTCAAGCCGCACACGTGCGTTGCCACTCCTGCTTTTGTCTGTGAGCCTCACTGGCCTTTCAGTTTTCATGAGCTACAAGGGAGCGACAGCTGTCCAGCCAGTTGTGAATGCATTGAGCCTCAAGGATTCTTCGGAATTCGGCCGTGCTTTTGAAGTCTTGCTACTGTGCCAAGCAGGGTGGGCCGTGGTCGACTTCATACGCTCGTTCATCGTTTCATCACTCAGTCTGGATTGGCAACAATACCTCACGATTCGCTTGGTTCAAAAGTATGCTGATGACGACCATGGTTTCTACAAGCTTAAGCTACGCCATGGCAGCATCGACAATCCCGACCAGCGGATTACACAGACTGTGGGCCTGTTCACGAGGAGGTCTGTTTCCGTGATGGCAACTGTTGTTCAAGCCTTCGCTCAAGTTTGTTCCAGTGCAATAGCGCTGTTGCAAGTTTCGCCCCGTGTTTGCATCATTCTACTTGGCTTTGCCGGCTTGTATTCGCTCTGCTCTTTCGTCTTTGCCAGTCCGATGACGGCTGTGCAGTGTCGCATCCAAGCCAAGGAGGCAAACTTGCGGCACGTCCTGATGCGCATGCGAGAGCATGCGGAGTCCATCGCTTTCTTACAGGGAGAGGGGTTTGAGAGAGCCTGCTCCCAGCAGGCCTTGAGCCGTGTCATCTGGCAGAACTACCAACTCCAGGTGTTGAATGCCCTCTTGAAACTCTCCGGCAACGCTGGTCAAGTGGGCTTGGCTTGCTTGCCCGTGGTGCTGGTGGCACCACTGCTGTTTTCAGACGAGGTCGACCTCGGCTCATGGGCTTTGACGGAACGCTTCTTTGGCTATCTCATGACAAGCTTGCTCACCCTTGGCCACCAGGTCACGTACGTAGCCAAGATTCAAGCATACGCGCACCGCATCCAGGAGTTGTGGCAGCAACTGGATTACATCGGACTCGAGGGGGCAGCAAGGGATGAAAGGCCCGCCAACCGCTGGCTCAACGAAGCGGACAGCCCTCCACACGACTCACGGGATTCCCAGCTGCTACCCCTCCAGGAGCTCAGTCCGCGGGAAGGCGCGGCAGACTGCGTGACGGTGGTCTCAGGCTCTTCAGACCTCGTTCCGGTCTCCATGGCCGAGGTCAAACTGCGGACGCCCACGGTCGAAGTGAGCGTAAGCGGGCACATTGACCTGAGACAAGGGGAGTCGCTGCTGCTCCTTGGAGGGAGTGGTTGTGGAAAGACACTGCTGCTGAGGGCCTTCGCTGAGTTGTTCAGCAAGGGCAGTGGTAGAATCACTCGCCCGGCCTTGACAAGTTGCTTCTTCGTGCCTCAATCCCCGTATCTTTGCTTGGGTAGCTTTCGTGACAACCTTCTGTACCCACATTCTGCGACTTCTCAGCGTTCGAGAAGGGACATTGAGTCAGTGGTGAAAGCCCTGAAGTTAGACAGAATGATACAGACCCATGGAGGAATTGACGAGGTGCCAAAGGCTGCCCAGCCCTTATCACGCTCTGAACGCCAACGGCTGAACTTGGCCAGGCCACTTCTGTGTGAGAAACCGCTTCGCTTGCTGCTCCTCGATGATGCCACGGCGGATTTGGATCAGGAGATGAAAGACACTGTGTATACGTTGATCCAGCAGCTCGATGTTCCTTTTATCACCGTAGGAAGTGACTCGCAGCTCATGGGCTATCACACCTGCGTGTGGTCAGCAACGAACAGTTCGGATTCGTTCGTGACTTTCACTAGCGCGAAGCCGAGTGACTGCCAACAGCTGAATCGCAGCTGAAGGCGCCCAGGTCATGGCGAAAAGGAATGAACGAAGTGTCCATCGGTAACATTGACATGCAGGGGAAGGAAGGGTGCTTGGCGGTTCATGGGTCCTCATAAGTAGAGCTAGAATCCCTACGTAAGGTGAAAGAGGCATAGGTGCCCCACCCATAACCCTACTTCTCACTACCCATGAACCTTCAAACCCTAAACCCTAAACCCTAAACCCAAAACCCTCAACCCTCAACCCTCAACCCTCAACCCTCAACCCTCAACCCTCAACCCTCAACCCTCAACCCTAAACCCTAGCCAATTGGTTTGATTGTTGAGGTTCGCCATGCGGTCTTTCCTGGAATGCATAGAGCTCAGGGTCCCAAGTTCAGCGCTTCGATGGCATCCTGGGGTTTTTGCAGGGTTTAGGGTCTAGGGTTTAGGGTTTAGGGTTAGGGTTTAGGGTTTCGGGAATATGACCTGAAGGTACTAGAGTCAAAGCGCTACAGTGCGGCGAGGCATGGAGACTCGCAAGACATGTCGGGTCCCCCTCACATGCTTAACTTAAGCAGCGACCATGGCCCCAGGTCCCTCGGGTTTTTGAGTTTCGGGTCGAGGGTCCGCGAACACTGGGACGTTTCTTTCTGGAAACAGCGCCGCGCCATTCTGCAGCACGCTTGACTCGAGCAAGTTGGCGCCTCAATACTAGATTACTAGATCTCTCTCCAAAGGCGGATGGGAGAGGCTTTCTTTGGTGCCAGCGTGCTTGTGTCGGTCAGCTTGTTCCTCTTCTTTGTGAAGGTAGTGCCAAGGTGTCTAGCCGCCAGAGTCGGCTCTGCTGTACGCTGCGAAGAACGCAAGGAGCATGACGACCGGGCGTGGAAACAACTGAGAGCTGAAGGCTGGATTTCGAACTTGACCCTCTGCTTCCTCATGCTTAGTCTTCTTTCCGCTTTTGGCCAGTGGCCCCTATTGCTCCCAATCCAGACCAGAACGCTGTGGAAGGTCCCCTTGATCTATGTCGCAGACTCAGGCAGGAGCGCCATGTCCCTGGGGCTGCAGTACCTCCTGAATCGCAACTGGTTTAAGATGACCAGTGAAGACCTCGGTCTGATCCGCAGGCGCAGAGACAAGTGGACCGAAGGTGTGGAGACGGAGATTCTCACTCGGCGGTACGGCTACTCAGTGAAGATCATGGATGCGGTGAACCGGCGAGTTGGCCACTTGGTGCACTATGGCATCCACGTGCTCATCTTCGCCTACAGCGCGACCGCCCACGCGCTGCTCCAGACCTTCTTCTACCTCGCGGTCTTTCGCTTCGTCTCGCATGTCCTTCTCGAGCAGGATGACTGCATGGGCGTTGTCGAGTACAGCGGGGCGCGGATGCGCGATGGCCGCTTCGGGCGTTTTAACTTGCTGGTGGTCAGTGTTTGGGGAGGCTTCGGCAAGGCCATGGTGGTGATGTTGTTGATTCTCAAGGGCTACGACCGGGAAGACAACTTCCACCTCTTCCAGGCATATGCGATTCTGGCTCTGCAGGGTGTGATCTGGGGCGACACGGCAGGAGAGGTGATCGGGAGTTTTTTCGGGAAGCTCGAGTTCGACGTAGGCGGTTTCGGCGAGACAAACAAGAAGACGCTGGAGGGCACTTCCGCAGTTTGGCTGGCTACCGCCATCTCTTCATGGTGGGTGCTTCAGGTGTGGCAGGCTGGCGACGCCGCGTTCCAGGGCGGCATGTGGCTGGCGATCTGCTGCACCTCCACAGTGGCGACCATCATGGAAATAGCAGCCCCGAGAGGTACCGACAACTTCTTCATCGTTACGGGCTGCATTGCTTGCTTGTTCTTCTTCATTTAGAGCAGTTTTAACGCCGAAAGCTCTGAGAGAGCAAAGCCAAAGAAACATCAAACCCAAAAACCATCACGACCCTTGAGTCCGCACCAAAACCCGAAAACCCGAAGACCTTGAAACCCAAAGACCTTTGGAATACTATACTTTACTCAGATTTCAAACCCTGAAAACACCCTGTTTGCCACAAAGACTGGCAAAACCCTCAGACCCTCTTCCTCAGAGGCTTCTAAACCCTAAACTCTAAACCCTCAACCCTAAACCCTAAACCCTCAACCCTAAACCCTAAAACCCTAAAACCCCAAACCCTAAACCCTAAGCCCTAAACCCTAAACCCTTGGCATGATCATGCGTTTCACGTCGCTAAAGTTTGCTGAATCAGCAGCTGCCAGCAACGACTGCTAGACGGAACCAGCTCTTGTGAGAAAGCGTGGGAGAATGCTTTTTTTTAGTTTAGGGTTTAGGGGTTTTCGTCTGTCAGATTCAGTTTATTTTTCGTATCTAGTTCCGGCTTTGTTGGGCACAGCTTGAAGGCACACTTGCAGTAGTCGCTCGCGGAGGGAAATAAATGCGAGGGCGGCTTGATTCTCAGCTCATAGTTGTACAATGTGGGGTTTGCGAAATCCCGGCAGGAGTACGTACTTTCGTCAGTTGGTTCGGTGTTTTTGATCCAAGGTTGTGCTGGATTTCGGAAGCAAGCTGCGCGGGTTGCTGCCATGCTTCTTGCTTAGCCCTGGATTGGGGCCTTGGCTGGTCTTATTCACTTTTGCACCTTGGACAAATGTAGCTGTCTCGGGGTAGCTCGCAGGTTCCCTTCCTGTGGCCTTAGCTTCTGGCCAGCATTGCCTACTCCCGGCCCCAAACTCCTTCCCTAAAGTACCGGCGCGCCCTTATGAGGCCGGCCAGCTGGCCCAAAAGTGCAGTGAACCATGCAGGAGAGCGAGTGTGTTTTCATGCCTTGTTACGCCCATTGTCCTTCAACAAAAAGCCAAGGCAGACTCAGTGCAGGTTTGGGGTTTCAGCCATCCGTGAATCCAACCAGGAGATACCAAGCAGCAGAGGGTAGGAAAGTCTAAAGCCCGGCGTGTCGTTGATGCACGAAAGCACTGCTCGTGTTCTTGTAAAAACTGTGGGTCCTCAGCCCTAAGCCCTAGACCCTAGCCCTAGACCCTAGATTCGAAACCGTAACCCAAGAACCCTAAGTCCCTACACCCCGAAACCCCCGAATCGAATTCGTAGACGAGCCAGCAAACAGGTGACTCGCATGCTTTGACATATCATGCTCAAGCAGGGACACAGTCCTAGGTTCGTCAGGTTCGTGTTCAGGAACTTAGATTATGAATTGGGGTTTGGTGGGCTAGCTTTTCCGGGTTTAGGGAATATGGAAACCAGTTTACTTACCACAAGCTCATATTCTAGTATTTCAATGGCAGTTCATGAACAAGGAATTCCCAGCTTTAGGCCATGTGGTGATAGCCACGCGATGTACCCTTCCATGTTTCCCTGTAGGGTCTAGGGTTTAGGGTTTAGGCGAGGGTTTGCAGTTGCAGCTGTGGAGTTTTGCAGTGGCACTGAAGTCGAGGTATGTGGAGGATATGCTAACATGGTCGTCGCGTAGGGTTTAGGGTCTAGGTCTTACTTCATCTCGATTCATCTTTGCCTGGGAAGATGCAATGGGCTGAATGCCTTTGCGTGCTGCTGCTACTCGGGTGCAGGGCACATGTGTGCTTTCAGTCCGCTTTCGGTTGTTGTTTTGCAGCCCGGAATCGAACTGTGAACAGCACCCTCCCTCCACCCAACAAAGAATACGTTGCCCTTGTTGGATCAGATACGTGCCAGGAGCAGGCTTAGCCACGTGACGTGTCATAAAGAGGAAGCCGGACCCTGGACGCAGCCGGGTTATGGCGTAGGGGTTCACCAAAACTCCCGACACCCTGAGCCCCTGTCAGCCCCTGTCAGCCCCGACCTGAGCCCAAACGAAACCGAATCTCAGCCCAGGTGCTTGGGGACTCCACAAGCAGCTCAGACATCAGGAGGGGGTTTAGGGTTTAGGGTTTAGGGTTTAGGGGAGCCCCCTAGGACTTCGACTAGGCCCTGACTTCGGAAACCCGAAGTCCACACAGGCAACAAAGAGGTGGGAATCCTGTGGCCATACGGGGCTTAGCAGGCAACCCTAAACCCTAAACCCTAAACCCTAAACCCTAAACCCTAAACCCTAAACCCTAAACCCTAAACCCTAAACCCTAAACCCTAAACCCTAAACCCTAAACCCTTTTTTGAAGGATTACGACTTGTGGTTTTGCCCTCTACGCAAGCGGTAAGGCCAAGCATGCTGTGCGAGCAGGGGTACCTTTTCGGGGTCCTTATCATAAGGGGATCCTGCTGTTTGGTTTAGGGTTTAGGGTTTACGGTTTAGAGTTTAGGGTTTAGGGTTTAGGGTTCAGGGTTTCTTTGTTTTTTACATACCCTATATCCTAAACCTTAATTCAGGGTTTAGGGTTTTTAGGGTTTCTTCTTGGCTCCTCTGAAGTTCGATGATCCCTTGAAGGTACTGCGGGGATTGCAAGGCCTTAAGTGCAACTGCCGTAAACCCTAAACCCTAAACCCTAAACCCGAAACCCGAAACCCGAAACCCTAAACCCTAAACCCTAAACCCCAAATAAGCCCTAGAATCCCAAGCCTTGAGCCCCAAAGAGGGCTCCTTCAGCCCCTCGCAGAGCCAAGGCAGGTCGCTGGGTGGAGGCTGGCTCGGATTTTGGGGTTTAGGGTTCAGGGTTTAGGGTTTAGGGGTTTTAGGGTTTTCGGGTTTTCGGGTTTTCGGGTTTAGGGTTTAGGGGTTTCGGGTTTAGGGTTTTGGGGTTTTAGGGTTTTAGGGTTTTAGGGTTTCAGGGTTTTAGGGTTTTGAGGTTTTAGGGTTTTAGGGTTTCAGGGTTTTAGGGTTTTGGGGTTTAGGGTTTTAGGGTTTTAGGGTTTCAGGGTTTTAGGGTTTTGGGGTTTTAGGGTTTTAGGGTTTTCGGGTTTAGGGTTTTGGGTTTTTTTTTAGGGTTTTAGGGTTTTGGGGTTTAGGGTTTTAGGGTTTTCGGGTTTAGGGTTTTGGGGGTTTTAGGGTTTTGGGGTTTCGGGTTTAGGGGTTTAGGGTTTTGGGGTTTTAGGGTTTTCGGGTTTTAGGGTTTTAGGGTTTCGGGTTTAGGGTTTCGGGTTTAGGTGTGGGGTTTGCGGCTGAGAGTGGAACTTCGTATCTAGGTCTGGGGCTTGGTTGTTGTTGCTGGCAAGACGCTTGCCGGGTGCGTGGGTGGGGTGGGGGCCCGGCAGTTTGGGATACTGACGTCGGAGTTTCATGGTTGAGGCCTAGGAATCAGCACAAACCCTACGTTGTTGCAAAGCTTGAATCCGAAAATACGGGACCCCTAAAGACCCCCAAATAGTAGGATTCCCTCATGATAGGGACCCCAACAAAGGTACTTCTAATTTCGGAAACCCCCTATGTCACAGGCAGATTAAAGTCAGCTGATAGGGTCCAGGCGGCCATGAACCATTGCCATGGGTGCCATGGGGGTCGGGGCATGGGGCTATGGGAGCCATGGGCGGGGTGGGCGGAGCGGGCGGGGGGGGGAGCCATGGGTGGGGTGGCAGGAGGCATGCGGAGGCCAGGAACGGGATGGGGGCCAGGGCTGGAGAGGTCCAGGCTATGGGGGCCATGAGCCATTGCCATGGGTGCCATGGACCAGGAGCCATGGCTGGCATGGGGGTCGAGGGGCACGGGGCGGGCGGGGAGAGCGGAGCAAGCGGGCGGGCATGCACTGAGGCCCTTAAGCCAGCTGATAAGGTCCAGGAGCATGGGGCCATGGGACCATGGGGCCATGAGACCATGAGCCATTTGGGGGCCATGCACCATGAGCCATGAGTGCCATGGAGGTCATTGACATGGATGCCATGGGGGTCGGGGCATGGAGCTATGGGAGCCACGGGCGGGGTGGGCGGAGCGGGCGGGGAGGGCGGAGCAAGCGGAGCGGGCGGGCATGTACTGAGGCCCTTTAAAGTCAGCTGATAGGGTCCAGGGGCCATGAACCATTGCCATGGGTGCCATGGGGGTCGGGGCATGGGGCTATGGGAGCCATGGGCGGGGTGGGCGGAGCGGGCGGGGGGGGAGCCATGGGATACGGCAGGAGGCATGCGGAGGTCAGGGGCGGGATAGGGGCCAGGGCCGGAGTGGTCGAGGCTATGGGGGCCATGAGCCATTGCCATGGGTGCCATGGGGGTCGGGGGGCATGGGGCTATGGGAGCCATGGGTTTAGTGTTTAGGGTTTTGGGTTTAGGGTTGTCAATCTTCATTCTTGCCTTTTCAGAAGGGACTGGTTGCTTGGACTTCAGTTTCTGCCCTAGAGCAATTCGTGCAGATATTCTGGTGGGGGGTCTGCATATTCCCTGTTGGAGGGGTGGGGTTAGTTTGAGTTTTGAGTTTAAAAGCTTCAGATCGACTGGCTCCCTCATGTTCTCCTCTGCCCGGGGCCTTGGGGCACATTCCATCCTGCACAAGCTTTCGCACCATTCCGGGGGGGGAGGGGGTATTTTCATCAAAGGTGAGGGGGTTACTCAATGATGGGGGGATGGTGATAGCCCTAAACCCTAAACCCTAAACCCTAAACCCTAAACCCTAAACCCTAAACCCTAAACCCTAAACCCTAAACCCTAAACCCTAAACCCTAAACCGTGGAGGGTTGTTGTGCTACCGAGGTGCAGCTCTCTGACTTGGGTAGCGCCCTGGTCTGCAGTTCTTGGTTCCCCTCTCTCCCTTCCAGCGCTCGGGACGGCTGGGTTTCAAGTAGCCCCTGCAGATCCTTCGCATGGAGGATGCGTGAACCCACTCCCATGAAGAGCATCTTCCATGGGAAGAAGTCCATGTGCAATTCGTGCTCAGTAGGGTCTTTGTATTTCTCTTATCCCCAAAACAACACCCAACCTATACTCTCACGAGTATTTTTAAGTTTCGACCCGCCTGCCGGCCAAGC